GTCTTTCATGTGATGGTTTGCAGAATAAAGCATTTTCACACGTCATACCTGCACACAATTCATCATAATGTGTATTTATCCATACATCTAAAGGATTTGATGATAATTCAATTAAATCTTGTTGGCTTCAGTCATCGGTATGATTCGTACATTAAATGATGAAAGTCGTAATTGATAAAATACGTCAGTAAATTATCATAAAATTCCTTTGTGCATGAATCCATCAAATTCTGAAGTAATCAAATTGACCCTTGAATTTACCATTAACTCTTAAAACTACGTATCTTCTGTCTCCAACTTCAATTTGACAGGGTAAACGTTGTTAGTTACGAAAATGAAGTTTGCAACGTCTGACTGTTCTTCTGGGTTGATTCTTTCATTAATTCTTATCTCATTATCCGTAATAATTGATTTCAAAGCGTTGAAGTTTGCGAGTCTGTCTTCACCCACATTCTTGAGTTCATTAAGTACAAGAAACATTTTATTTTCAACTACTGAATTGAAATTACCCGTTAGCTCACTTATTTCGGTAATGTTTACATGAAAAACCAGCGAGAAGTTCAGAAATAATGTCTGTAAATCTGTTTACCTGTTCCCTGAAGTCCTTTCAAAATAATTGCTGTTTCATTCTTGATTCCGCGGATGTTGAATCATTGATGCAATCCAGCCGAGAAGGTATTTATACACTTCATCGTTATTATCACAAATGGCTTCTTTAATGAAATTCATAAACATCTCAATTTTTGAGTAATCTGGTTTTTCGAGAACGTTGTATTTATAACCTTGAAACTTGAAAAACATCTGGGGAATCAGATTTAAAGCAAACACCCTTAACGGTTAATGAGGATAATTGATTTAGTAGTACATCCCATGCTGTTATTGTTTTACCTTCTTCTTTAATAATTTAATCATTTTGAGTGATCTCTTTCATGTTGACTGAAGAACAAATGATATTTTGATTCATTTTGTCGTATATTATAGTCCTTTTGAATGAAATATTTATTTCCACAATCTACAAAAACGATTACACGTGATAAATCCTCAATTACTTCAGAACTTTTATACTGATGATTTTCAGCCTTGCGTCTAATATCTTTATCAAAAACGAGTCATCAAGTTTATATCAAATGTTATTTTTGCTTACGAATAAAGGTAAAACATATTCATCATAATATTCCTTTTGATATAGTTTTAGAATCTTCACTAAAACAAATGGAGAAGTCATTAAATGTGCATATCTACTACGTGCTTTTTCAAAATTACTTTTTGCATTTTCTGTTAAACTGCAGAAGTTATAAACGTTATCGTATGCTTCATTAATTAAATGATCCGGTAACGAATTAATAGCTTGAAACAGTGTGAATAATGTTATTTCTTTTTCTAAATTCATGTTTCCACCGTCATTATGTACTTCAAAATCACAGATGCCATCAACTATGCTCTGAGCTAGTTTATCGTCAATGTTTACATCTTTGTTTTCATTCATGATAGTCTTTATTTCTTCATTCTTCTGTTCAACTCTTACCTTAATATTCAAATCATTTAATATATCATTCACTGTTCTAGTTAATGTTGAATCATAACTTCCACGAATGAATGAGTATGTATTGATTGGTTCTGTTGCATTCTTGCGAACTCTTGAATCAGCCATAACCACTAAAGAACGCTTTGAATCATCCATAGAAGTCATGATATCAATATCATAATCATTGCAGGAATAACATTTAATCATTCTGTTCGAGGTTGAATAGAAGAAATTAGTGTTGCAATAAATGTGAAGACCTCCTGAAGCGGTTTTAACGATAACATCTTTATCCGAAAGTTTTGATAAAATGTCTTTTCTAACTGTTTCTTTAAGTTCATCATTGTATGATTTATTGATATCAACATCTATAATCGTTAAATTTGAAATTTTATTTACTAATAAAGCCATACCAGTTTTCCTTCCTCTTCCTCCATCGTGTTTGAGGTAGTTATGTAAATCAATCTTGTTTTCACCAATTCTTTCGTTGAGGGTTTTAGTTTCTGCCACAACTAATTCCTCAGCTAATGAATCAATAACTTTTCATCAGAAACGATATAGTTGTTGCTGTTGTTTTTGCTGTCATTTATATAGGAATAAAAAATAAAAACAATTTTAAAACTAACTTTATTTTTGGACTGCATCATATTTCCTGTGTTGTTGTCAAAATGTCATGTTGTCACACTTTTTCAGAGAAGTTAAATGACCTGGTAGCACATGGTAACATGGTAGCACCTTCAGTTCTTCAAAAATAATTCATAACTACCTTCCTCCTGAACTGTTGTCAAAATGTCATGTTGTCACACTTTTTCAGAGAAGTTAAATGACCTGGTAGCACATGGTAACATGGTAGCACCTTCAGTTCTTCAAAAATAATTCATAACTACCTTCCTCCTGAACTGTTGTCAAAATGTCATGTTGTCACACTTTTTCAGAGAAGTTAAATGACCTGGTAGCACATGGTAACATGGTAGCACCTTCAGTTCTTCAAAAATAATTATTTTTGAATAACCTAAAAACCATGAGACTTTGTCTCCGGACTCTTTGAGTCACTTAACGATAAAATAAGTGATAACAAATTTTTATTTTTATCATAAATGAATACCCCACAAGCTCAAAATTTACCACGAATCATAACAAGGGAGGAAATGATAAAAATGATGCAAGAACATGTTAAAAATAACAAACCACTAAAATTGAGAAAATGTGGTTATGCGGTAATGATGGAAAGAGAGATGTTGTCGAAGAGGAATAAAAATTAAATTTGGATAGAGTTTAAAAATTCATCTTTATTAAATTCATCTCTTCCAATCAATTTATTTATTCTATTAAATTCTTTTATTTTTGCTTCACTCAGTTTAAGGATTGAACGATAAGTTTCTAATTTTTCGATTATTTCTTTCCTCTCTTTATCGTTTTCAACCCCACCACATTGTGGCTTCTTTTTGTAATAACATATTTTTGATTTAATTCTGTTTAGTTTCTTTTTATATTCATCGTCTGGACTCTTGACTGCTTCGTTGTTACTCATTTCTTACGAAATAAAAAAATTAAATATTATTTAAATATAATGGAGTAATAAAATAAATCGGAATTTCTATTAATTTATTGTCAACTTCAACTAATGCATTGCCGTTAATATATCTAACAAATTCAGCTATTGTGTCAAATCTTCGTCTTCTTTTTGTCATTGATTTATCAGTTTTTCCATAATCGAGATGAATCAAAACTTTATCCCCTTTTTAAAATTCATGAGCCCCGAATTAATTTGTTCACGTTTAACATCATTCAACCTTTCCATTTGCTTTCTAATATATTCCCATTCTTTTGAAATATCATTTTTCATTTCCACGGTTTCATGTTTATTGTTCTATGCCATGTATTATTGTAATAATATACTAACTGCTGTATGATGGAGTCATGATTTCCATCCCAGTATATCTGACCATTAACCCCTAACGCATCTCTAAGAGTTCTCATTACCGCATCAACTATTTTATTATGAAACGTATATGGAGAGGATGAAAAGTAAAAATTAATTTGTGGGAAATAATGAGCCATAGCTGCCTGAAATCCTTTATCACCATCACCCCTTATATTATCTACTCTTTCATGATCTAGTAAGTATTGAATAGCTCTTCTTGTTTCCTGTTCTGTTTTCCCTTTCACCGGAATGCAATATAAATATCTGGTGTTAATGTTAATGGCAAATAAATAAGTAACGTTTCCTCTTGAATATTCTAAATGATCGATTTCGTATGAATATGGATATGGTGCAAATGAAGGGCGACTAAATTTTTCCTTTAACGGTTGAATTTTTGGGTCAGTTGGTTTATTTAATATTTTGAAATCCTTTTTAAAATCTTTTTGCTTCTTTAATGTTTGAAATGGATATAATAAAGTGAATGATGAAGGATTAACTGAAGGAGGAGGAGGTACTGTCGTTGGAGGGTTTGGTGTTGCAGGTGGTTTAATTTTATCTGCTTTGATTTTGGATTTCATTCCCCCCTTCATTAATTCTGGATGTATTCTATTCATTTGTTTTAAATATGCTGTATATAAAGGTTTGATATACTTTCCCGCTTCGAGTTTATGTTGAAGGATGAATTCCAAAAGTTGATCTTCATTTAAAAGTCGGGCTGAATATGGTTTAACTAATGAATCATAAATTAAAGCTTGTGCTTCATTTATGGTCTGAAGGACCTGGGCGTTTTGCACCTTTTGTTTTTGTTCCTTTGGTTTTTGCGGCTCAGGATTATATAATTTATATAATTTATATAATTCATCAATATCTTCTTCTGTTAATACTTTATTTTTGAAATCTTTCAATTGTTTAAGTTGTGATTTACTTTTTCCCTTTGAATATTCATTATTTTTAATTTTGTCTTTAATTTTAGAAATTATTTTATCATGATATTTCAAAACTTCATTTTTATAATACGAATAATAATAATCCATATCATCACCCGTTATATTGTTATCATGTTTTTGGAGATATGATTTTAATTCATAATAATTAAGAAAATTTTGATTAAGTACTAAATCATCAATTAAATTTTTTAAATCTACGCTATTCATTTATATAAAAATAAAATAAGTGTTTTAAGGGTGCCCGCCTCTTTGAATCATAGTATCAAAACCATTATTTACGGTTCCTTTTGTCTCTTCTGTGGCATTTTATTAAATAAATGGCATACAACATCCATTTTCACAACATACAGCCTTAGTGTGTGCTCCTGTTAATGCAGTCTTACCGATTGTTAAGCGAGTCATTGACCCGTTTTTAAGTTGTAAATTAATATTCTGACCATCAAATATCACTTTATCATTTATTATATCCAAATAATTTTTAGGTGTTAATTGTTTATTTTGTCGTAAACTAACTCCTTTCATTTTTTGTGCAATCTTTTTAAAATCACTTCCATCAATTGAACCGTTGAATGAAGTATAACACTTAGGACATAAAGCAACCATGTTATCACCTTGTTTCTCAATTGCTAAACCCAATAACTTCTTCTCATGTGCTTTTTCTTCAGCTTTATTCTTTAATTTAGGTTTAAATTTCTCATTAAAACAGAAGAAATCAAAAGGTGCGAATTTGTAAATGTTTTTATCATAAAATTTTTTATCGGTTACAATTGCTTGAAATGCTTGAGTGTTAGGAAGATTTGGGTCGCCAGCGATTGCCCAATAAGATGAATCAGTATCACCTTCAATGAAATGAAAACGATTAACATCCATGCATTTATACATAAAATCATAAATGAAAACCAAATACCAGTATTTTGCGTTATCTAAAGTGAAGAATGCCTCTTGTAAACATGTATCACATCTATAAAATCTATCTTTAAGCATCACTTGATACGTATCTTCACCTATTTCTCTTATGTTTTTAAACTTATTTGACATACATGCAACGCGTGCCTTCTGTGCATTCATTATTTTAGTCTTTGCGTAATTTTGTGTATTCATTGCATCGTAACCATATGATCCATTAAGTGAAATCTTGCAAAATAAACTTTTTCCTTTATTTCCTTCTAATTCAGCCTTTTGTCTTTCGTTCATAAATTCATTCGCAAATTCATTAAAACAAGTATTTTTCGTAAATGTTAAAATTGATTGAATGTCATCAATGATAAAATGAAATCTGTCTATTAGATACCAAAGATAATAAGAAGAAAATGGTTGATATTGGTTGTGTGTTGATGCTAACTGAGTTAATTTCCTCTGTTTCTGGTCAACTGGTAGATTGTTTGATTTCATGTAATTATACATAAAACTGCCAATTGTTTTTTCATCTGTGATAATATCAAAGTTTCTTATTATTGGTAAAAAGTTTATGTAATCATTAATGTATTTTTCATCAATGTGACCCTTTACTTCAGCCACGAATAAAGTATTTTTCTTCTTAATTATTCCCAGTGCTTTTGCTTTCTTTGTTGCTGTATCACAAATGATAACACCATTCAATCTTCCCGGCATATACATTTTATGGTCAGTATATTGAATGAAATCATGAGGATTAGATGAAAATGATGAAGGATATAATGAATTAAAGTCAACACCAACGAAATGAGTCATAATGTTGGAAGTGTCCTCATTTGATACAGTTTTAGTTTCTGGATTATATGAAAGTTTATTAATGTGCGTGATTCCTTTAAGATTTACTCTATGTTGAACATTTGATAAACCACCAGTAATTCCATTACGGAGGATGTGATAAGCTTCAACTGAATCTAGAGTCATTGGTAAATTATTTTTTAATGTATAATTTCTTAAATTGATTCTTAAACGTTGAACATCTTCATCTTTATTTGATTTTACGACATTGCAATAACAACACATTAACTGACAATTTTCTTTGGTATGTGGTTTTTCATTATCGATTCTATCTAATGTTGGTTTATTAGCATATGTAAACGCTTTACCACACATTTTGCATTTAGATGAAAGGATTAAATCGTGATAGTATTGATAGTCATCCATTGAAACATTGTTTTTAGTATCCCTTTCTGCTTTTTCATCTTGTTTCTTATATGAATCAATTTTATATTTCCAATACTTTTTTGTTAATTCAAAACTTGATTCCACATTTTCTTCTTCTGGATATGTTTCGTTAGGATTGAAGTTCTTATATGCTAACGCGTAACGAATCATTGATGCATTCGATGATAAAGAAAGATTATGAAGCATGTCAATTTTATAAACAAATGTTTCTTCAATAATTTTATCAATTGGGTCAATCATAATTTCAACGTCTTTATTGCAATAATGAATAAAATATTCTAATCTATTCTCAAAATTTTTAGCATCATTGAGATATATTTGATAATCTGAATCGGATATTGTTTCTTGAGTTAATGCTGAATAAAATGAATCTTGAGTGAATGGTTCCACTTTATATAATTCTCTTCGTAATTTCCCATGTGATGAATTGATAAGGGAAAAAGGATTTAACACGTGATTTATTGTTTCCGAAATCTTGAGTGAATTGGTCTAATGTTCCACCCGCTATATAATTTCTGATGTCAATAAATCTTAATTCATATGGACAGTTTGTTTTCTTTACAATGATTTGCTTAAATTGAGAAGAAGAACCCAGCATTGATTTTATTTTCCATTTTGCAGTGTTTAAATCACGAAGAATTAAATTTAAATCAAACTTTCCCGAATTAAAACCTATGATATTCACTTTATTGAATTCCTCATCTAGAAGTTCTTTAAATGCTTCCTTCTGTTTTTCATTTAATGTATGGGACAAAGTCCCCGCCGTTTGGTCCGTTTGCGGCTTCATTAATTCTTCATATTGTTCAATATTTGATTTAGCAACTAATGAACAGGTTGAAAATAAAAATTCAATCCAATCAGAGATGAACGAATCACTTGATGTTAAGCAAAAATTCCTCGTAAATGTTTTATCACGGTCTACGACCTCGCCGCTTCGGTCTGAAAGACCTTCAGGACTCAAAGAGTCCGTTTGCGGCTTTATTTTGACAGTTGATGATACCATAAATGGTTTTAAGTAAGCGTTCAAAGTTGCACATTCAGAAAGTTGAAGTTCTTCTTTAGTCTCTAATGTTTCGAAGTCAAAAGTAATATAATATCTTGTTGGTTTATAATATTCCTGCAAATTATGTGCTAATAGCCATTGATATATCTTCTGTTTCGTGATATGTGGTGCATATGGTTGTGGGTTTTGCAATTGAACGTCTTGAATTAATCTTCCATTATTTTCTTTACATTTCTCACAATGTTTTAAAAATCTTCTTTGGTTTTTCCTTTCTGGTCATCACGGATAGAATATACTTCTTCTTTGCAAAAGGGGCAAACTTTATATCCTGTGAGTGCTTCAACGTCTGTTATTCTGTCAGCGTGAAGTTTTCCACATGGACTCTGTGTTAATAAAATATTTACTGTTTCAAATTCTGGATCTATCATTATTGATTCCACTAATGGAAAGTCTACCTTATTTATGTCTACGTCTTCTGGTTGAGGGTCACAATAATAAAAATCAATATTAACGTTTAACATTCTTGCTAACCTCTCACTTTCTGATGAAATGTCAAACCTTCATATGCATCTATGCTTCATTTAAATAACTTCTACGAGTTTTAGGATTAACACCATCAGGAATGTTATAGAAGCGTTTAAATAACCTTCTACCTTCGCTCTTATTTGATTATCATTCATTTTAGCTGTTCCGTTTTTGTTCATTTATGTAAGAATAAAAAATTAAAAAATAAATAAAAATAAAGTTTATTTTTTTAAAGTCCAGGGCTAAAGTCCATAAAATGAATTAAGAACACATAAATTTTTATCATCTGCGACGTGACGAATACATTTTAATTTACTCAAGAATGCGTACCCTGATACATTAAATCTAATTCCTGTCTTATTTAATTTCACAACTTTGAAAAGGAATGTATGAATAGCTATAAAATGATGAGATGATGTTTTATGGGTTGCTTCCATTTTTTCTGAAATAAATGAATAAATATAATGTTTATAAGTTTTCATATCTTTTATGTTCTTAATAACGAATGGTATAGACCTTTCAACTTCGTCTTCCTTCGGTGCTGTTCTTTCATATGAAACATTATTAGTATCTTCAATAATGAAACCACAATCGCATAAAATTTTATATGTACCAATTGTTTCTTTTGATATTTTATCTAACAAATCAAAAACTTTATCAACACCTGTACATTTATTTAAATAATAATTTGTGTAAATATCATGGTCTTCTTTCTTAATCGTATTTGTTGCATATGTTACATTTTTCAGTGCTTTTTTGAATTTTTCAGAATCAAGAGGAGGTGAAAGTAATACAGGATATCTCATTATCAATAAATTGTAACTTATGTTTACGAATAAATTTAGTACCTTCTTCTGAAAGTGTTTCATCTATTTCACCATCTAATAAATTTTGTGTTGATTCTGAGACATAATTTTTATATCTTTCTTCATGAGATTTTTGAACTGCTGATTCTGAAGCTGGGATATTCATTAAACCCTCTACTTCATTTCATTATATTTTTCAACTTCTCTTAATTCCTTAATTTTTTCATCTATTTCATCTCTTATTTTTTCCAGTCTTTCAATTTCATCATATTCATCATCTTTAATCCGTTCTTCATAATATTCAGGGAAAACATCAGGTTCTTTAGGTTTTTCTTCTTCAGATGTGGGATATAAGAAATTTATAACATCATCTTTATTCATTTTTCCATCATAATCTAAATCATTTAAAAACTCCGCGAATTTTTGACAATTTCTTAAATAATATTTACTAACCTCATAACCTGCCTCCTCTAATATATCCTTTATTTCCTCATTTGTGAATTCCAATTTTTTAACGTCGTTAGTCTTGACACTCATTTTCTTACGAATTAAAAAAATAAATTATTCATAAATGTAAGACATGAATTTTCAAAGTTTATTTTTTTATTTTTTTTATTTTTTTTATTTCATTATGTATGGGTTTAGTGAAAATTTCTTACGATTCTGAAAATTTTTAAATCTTGATTTATTCAAAAACGTAAGAATAAAAACCGTAAAAATCATACATTTATTTTATCGATTGTATGAAAATTACTTACAAAATCGTTCAATATTGTATGAATTCTTACGTTTACAAAAAAAGTCACAAAACCCGTCAACATATACTACTGAGCAAATACCTAGATTTTTCAAACAAATTTATTTGCATTTAATGTATTTATATGATCCATACATGATTGGTTTGCATCCCGAACGTAAAAATTATCCACAGTCCTATGAAAGTTTCTTAGCTAATAAGCAAACACCTGAAATAATAAAAAGAACAGCTATCAGGAAAAATCACGAATATTTCTTATATTGTCACATATCAAATGCGTATGAAGAGTCATTTCCCGAGTATTTTTCTGAAACATTATGGAAAGCGAAACAATTTCAATTCAGAGCTGCAACAAATGATGATTTTGGATATTGTGATGTATTCAAAGATCATATGTTAACTAAATACATTCCATCGCGTAAAAATATTTTAGATCAAAAAGAGTTACAAGATATAAGAGATTTTGTTGATAAAGCTAAACCAGAAGACTTCTTAATCATGGATCCAGATACAAAGCGATTTGTTCAATACAACCCTCGAACACTCAACCGACTAAGAATTTATGTGAGAGACACAGAGCAAACACTGTTTTTTAGGACTCATTTTGTTGGAATACTACCATACTTTCCTCGTCTTGGTGAGAAAAAATCTGAATGGTATATAAACATTTTAGATTGCGTAGAATAAACAAACTCTTTAAAAAAATCTCTAAATTTACTAATGATTTGAAAGAATGGAACCTATCTTGTTAAAGACACAGTCACTCTTTAACCATAAAATTAAAAAAATATCTAGGATATTTATATACCATTAATATCTCTAGAGAGACCTTTGATGGGATGAGGCAGCAGAACATAGCCATCTATATTTTCTCAATGCACATTGATTCGGATGAACCTTCTTCAGGTTGAGTATTTTTTGCAATTTCAAAGTAATAGAATAGCTTCTAAAATGATTTACATATACATTAACATACATTAGAATTCGATAGTATCCAAAAATTTTGCCGTCACTCCGAGGTGTTACCCCCTGCATTTTCTTTCGTTGAAAATTCGGTGTTATCTTGGTACATTTATTGAACTCGCATAGATATTTAGAGAACAGTTGATATTGATGATGTATTGTACATGACACAATGTATAAATTTATTAAGATTATTAAGTTA